GGTCCCAACTGACACGCTGTAGGGTCTGGCCCGCTCGGCGAGCTGCTCGGCGGCTCTGGACTGCGTGTATCGCCTCAAGGGCCGCAGCGAGGCCAAGTCGCTGGCCGTGTGCCTGGGCCGCGTGGCCGACGTCTACAGGTACTGTGAGGTGAGAGGACCCAAGGAGCTCCTGGAGGACCTGTTGCCAGGACCAGTGACCCTGGTGATGCAGCGCTCCGAGGAACTCAACAAAGACCTGAACCCCTTTACGCCTCTTGTTGGCATCCGGATTCCTAATCACGCCTTCATGCAGGACTTGGCCCAAATGTTTGAGGGACCACTTGCACTGACCAGTGCCAACCTCAGCTCCCAGACCAGTTCTTTGAGTGTTGAGGAGTTTCAAGACCTCTGGCCTCACTTGTCCCTGGTCATTGATGGTGGACCGATTGGGAATAGTCAGAGCCCTGAGTGCCGCCTCGGCTCTACTGTGGTTGACTTATCTGTGCCTGGAAAGTTTACCATTATTTGCCCAGGCTGTGCCCTGGAAAACACTACAGCCATCCTCCAACAGAAATACGGGCTGCTCCCTTCCCAGAGGTCATGTTCTCTCTCTCTCTCTCTCTCTCTCTCTCTCTCTCTCTCTCTCCCTTCTCTTCCCGCCCCGCTACACCTGTAGCCTGGCTTTTTAGGGAATCTCTCTCTCTCTCTCTCTGAACACTGTAGGCCAGAAGCTACAGGTTGAGCCTTGTAGATTCACATCTCAACCAAAAATTGAACAAAGGTAAGAACATTCTTAGAGCAACCTATTATTTTAAGGCCTGCCTTTTAAGTTAAAAGGATTGAGTACAGAGTTAGAATAGATTAAGAGCTTGTTTCGGTGGACAGTGGCTCTTCATGTCAAGCCTGCTAGAAGCACTAGTGCAGTCTAAGAGTCTCAGGACCAATGCAGGAAAGTCCAGAAGCCCAACACAGATCTTTCCTGGCTATCAGAGTTCATTTTAGGGAAATTATCCTAGGGGGTCCCAAGTGAAATAAAACTGGAAAATAAAATCTTGACTGTTAAAAAACAAAAACAAAAACAAACAAACAAACAAACAAACAAAAAAACAGGTATCTTGAGGGGTTGGTGGATCTTGCCTGAAATACCAGCATTTAGGGGGTAGAGAGAGGCAGATCTCTCTGAGCTCAATGCCAAGCCTACATAGAAAGATCCAAGGTAGCTAGAGCTAGTTAGATGAATTACATTATTGAAATATCCAGACTTTCTAGATGCTCTTAGGAGTCAGATACACTTTGTAATTAGAAGCAGTAAAATAGCACATTTTGTAAAAATGAATAGCAATAATATTTAGCTACAGTGCAGATTCCTCTCAAGTTCTCCAAATTGGGTTTATGCCCTAGGTCATTCACAGGTGAAAGAAATGTAGACTCTAAGCCCTTGTGCTCCCAGTGAAGAAGGGGACCAATGTTTCATGTTGTTTTTCTTTGCTATGTCCAAAGTGTATATAATAGACAAGGAGTCATAATATACATCACCTGGCCTCTATATGTGAAATAGATTGCCAGTGTGTGACAGAAGTAGACTAATCCATTTTCTACATTTTGTATTAAAATTCCTAAGAATGACTGTCTTCTCAAAAATGGGGACATTATAGTTTATTCAGAATGATCAGATTTTGAAGAGATTTTAAAATCATTGTCTTGTGTGAGCAGTTTATTGAAGACTATTGTGTACCTAGTGAACAAAAATCCTTACTGGAAATATGTAACCTATCCAGATGTTCAGAAGTACCTAGTGTGTGTTCCGTGTAGAGGTAGAATTGATTTATATGTCATTTAACTCCAGAATTTCTTTTTTCAACTTCTTTTTTATTTAAAATTTTTTATTCATTTATATACCAGCCACAGTTCCCCCTTCCTCCCCTTTTCCCACTCCCCCAACCTCCTCCCAACCCAACCCCCATCCACTCCTCAGAAAGGGTAAGGCCTCCCATGGAGAGTCAACAAAGCCTGGACATTAAGTTGAAGCAGGACCAAGACACTCCCCTCCCCCCATATCAAGGCTGAGCATCCCACCACAGGAAATGGATTCCATAAGGCCAGCTCATACACCAGGGATAGATCCTGGTCCCACTGCCTGGGGCCCCTCAAACAGATCAAACTGTCACCCACATGCAGAGGGTCTAGTGATGTCCCATGCAGGCTCCCAGCTGTTGGTCTAGAGTCTTTGAGGGCCCATGACTTTGAGTCAGCTGTCTTTGTGGGTTTCCCCATCATGATCTTGATCCCCACCTTGTTCATATAATCCTTCCTCCCTCTCTTCCCCTGGACTCCCAGAGCTTGGCCTGGTGCTTGGCTGTTGATCTCTGTATCTGCTTCAATCTGAATACAGGGGAAGGCCAGTTCAGGCACCCCTCCAATATTGCTAGGAGTCTTAGCTGGAGTCATCCCATGGGTTGCTGGGAATTTCTCTAACACCAGGTTTCTCCCTAACCCCATAACGTCTCCCTCTATCAAGATATCTATTTCATTGCTCTCCCCCTCTGTCCTTCCCCCAACTCGACCATTCCCTCATGTTCCTCTACCCCCATCCCCTTTTCCCCATTCCCAGTTTACCCAGGATATCTCGTCTGTTTCCCCTTCCCAGGGCGAGCTCTGCATTCGTCTTAGGGTCCTCCTTGTTACCTAGTCTCTCTGGAGCTGTGGATTGTAGTCTAGAATCTCAAAAGCTGAAAGACATTTAAGGAATTGCTCAACATCCTTAGTCATCAAGGAAATGCAACTCAAAACAACTCTAAAATACCATCCATACCTGTCAGAATGGCTAAGATCAAAAACACTGATGACAGCCCATGTTGGAGAAGATATGGAGTAGGGAACACTCCTCCACTGCTGGTGGGAGTGCAAACTTGTACAGCCGCTTTTGAAATCAGTATGGCAGTTTCTAAGAAAACTTGAAATCAATCTACCTCAATACTCAGCATTTCTACTTTTGGGCACATACCCAAAGGTTACTCAATTATACCATAAGAGTACTATGTTCATTGCAGCATTATTTGCAATAGCCTGAACCTGGAAACAAACTAGATGCCCCTCAATCAAATAATGGATAAAGAAAATGTGGTACATTTACACAATGGAATATTACTCAACTGAAAAACTGGCATTTGCAAGCAAATGGACAGAACTATCCTGAGTGAAATTATCCAGACCCAGAAAGACAAATACAGTATGCACTCATTCATAAGTGGGTACTAGATGTAAAGCAAAGGATAACTAGACTACAATCCATAATTTATTTCATTTTTTAGAGATGACCTGCCTGTTTATAATAATGAGATATTGAAATCATCCATTATCCATGTGTGCATATGTATATGTGTTTTGAAATCAATCTGTGAGTTTAAATATAATAATTTTTAAAATTTTTTATGAGTTCAAATTAGGAACAAGCTTGTTTCACATGTCAATCCCTTCTCCCTCTCCCTCCACTCACCCTCATCCCTCCTCGCCCACCCCTGATGTACTCCCCACCCCATCCACCCTCCACTCCCCAGGCAGGGTAGGGCCCTCAATGGGGGCTCCGCAAAGGCCACCACATCATCCTGGGCTGGGCCTAGGCCCTATCCCATGTGTCCAGGCCAAGAGTGCATCCCTTCACATGGGATGGGCTCTCAAAGTCCCTTCTTACACCAGGCAAAAATAATAATCCACTACTAGGGGCCCCTGGAGTGCAGAGGCCTCCTCATTGACATCCATGTTCAGGGGTCTGGATAAGTCCTGTACTGGCCTCCCAAACAGCATCTGGGATCGATGTGTTCCCCCTGTTCAGGCCAGCTGTTTCTGTGGGTTTCACCAGCCTGGTACCGACCCATTTGATTGTCATTCTTCCCTCTCTGCAACTAAGTTCCAGAGTTGAGTTCAGTGTATATCTGTGGATGTCTGCCTCTGCTTCCATCAGCACTGGATGAGGGCTCTAGGATGGCATAAAAAGTAGTCATCAATCTCATTTTAAGGAAGGGTGTTTAGGTTTTCCTCTCCACCATTGCCTGGATTGTCAGTTCCTGTCATCCTTGTAGGTCTCTGGAAATCTCCCTAGTGCCAGATCTCTCCTGGGACCTATAATGGCTCTCTCTAATATGGTATCTCTCATCCTGCTCTCATCTATTCTTCCCCCAACTCAATATTTCTGCTTCTCCATTTCCTCCTCTCCTCTCCTCTTCTCCTCCTCTCATTCTGTCAGCTCCCTGTCCCCTACACTCATGCTCCCAATTAGCTCAGGAGTTCCTGCCCCTTCCCATTCCTGGGGTCCATGCATTTATCCCCTAGAGTCCATCATGTTTCCTAGTTTCTTTGGGGAAGAGAATTGTAGGCTGGTATTCCTTAGCACTATGTCTAAAAATTCATATATGAGTGAGTACATACCATGTTTGTCTTTTTGTGATTGGGTTACCTCACTCAGGATGGTTTCTTCTAGTTCCATACATTTGCCTGTGAATTTCAAGATTCCATTGCTTTTTTCTGCTGGATAGTACTCCATTGTATAAATGTACCACATTTTCTCTATCCATTCTTCAGTTGAAGGGCATCTAGGTTTCTTCCAGGTTCTGGCTATTGCAAACAATGCTGCTATGAACATGATTGAACATATGCCCTTGTTGTATGAACATGCACTATTTGGGTATATGCCCAAGAGAGGAATTGCTGGATCTTGAGGTAGACTGATTCCCATTTTTCTGAGCAACCACCATACTGATTTCCAGAGTGGTCTTACAAGTTCACACTCCCACCAGCAATGGAGGAGTGTTCCTTTTTCTCCACATCCTCTCCAGCATAGATTGTCATTGGTATTTTTTATTTTAGCCATTCTGGCCAGTCTAAGATGGTATCTCAGAGTTGTTTCAAGTTACATTTCTCTGATGGCCAAGGGTTTTGAGCACTTTCTCAAGTGTCTTTGAGCCATTTCAGATTCCTCTGTTGAGAATTCTCTAGTTCTGCACCCCACTTTTTAATTTCATTGTTTGGTGTTTTGGTGGCTAGCTTTTTGAGTTCATTTTATATTTTGGATATCAGCCCTCTGCCAGATGTGGGGTTGCTAAAAATCTTTTCTCATTGTGTGGGCTGTTATTTTGTCTTACTGACTGTGTCCTTTGCCTTACAGAAGCTTCTCAGTTTCAGGAGGTCCCATTTATTAATTAAAGATCTCAATGTCTGTGCTACTGGTGTAATGTTCAGGAAGCAGCCTTCTGTGCCAATTCATTCAAGGTTATCTCCCACTTTCTCTTGTAGAAGTTTCAGTGTGGCTGGATGTCATTCTTCCCTCTCTGCAACTAAGTTCCAGAGTTGAGTTCAGTGTATATCTGTGGATGTCTGCCTCTGCTTCCATCAGCACTGGATGAGGGCTCTAGGATGGCATAAAAAGTAGTCATCAGTCTCATAATAGGGGAAGGGCATTTAGGTTATCCTCTCCACCATTGCCTAGATTATCAGTTCGTGTTATCCTTGTAGGTCTCTGTACATCTCCCTATTGCCAGATCTCTCCTGGGACCTATAATGGCTCCCTTTAATATGATATCTCTCATCCTGCTCTCCCTTATTCTTCCCCCAAGTCATTATTTCTTCTCCTCCATTTCCTACTCTCCTCTTCTCTTCTCTTCCTCAAAAAATGAGAGGTTATATTTTTTTATTTGCTGGGATTCTCCAAGCATCATTTATATAATAGATTCTGCAGATACTTTTCCTATATATTCTTTTGCTTTTATTTCCCATAAAATATAATCTTTTATTTTCATAATTGTCATAAAATTTTATTGTACTTTTGATTAACATTTGATATCAGTTAGTAAATGGGATTAATCATATGCTACTTTTGAATTATTCTTTTCATCTGCTCATGTTAGTATTATTTCTGAAGGTTATTTCTCTAGTTTTTAAGATTGTAGTATAAAACCTATAGTTGCTCCTTTAATATTTAAATGAGATCGTGAAATATCCCTACCACTCAGCTCCATGTCTTTCAATTAAAGGTGTTTTCATGTATACATATACTGTGAAATTATAGTTTTGGATGAAATGAAGCATTCCTCTTAGTATCACTATAAGTAACATGTTAGCTGTCAGTTTTTCAAAATATCTTAAAGCAAACTAAGGGTCTTTATTTGTTATCATTATTCATTATTTGTAATTTCACCATAAGGAGATGTTATTGTTTTTCTTACCTTGTAAAATTTACTTTGCATACCAAAGACAGTTTTGTCTTCCTCCTGTCCTACTGTTCACTCTCCCTTGCCTCCTAACTACACTACACTCACTCCTCAGAAAAGGTAAGTCCTCCCATGGGTAGTCATGAGCAGTAAATAAAGTCTGGCATATCAATTTGAAACAGGACCAAGCTCCTCCCCTATAAATTACGACTTAGCAAGGCATCCCATCATAGGGAATAGGCTCTGAAAGCCAGTTCATGTGCTAGGAATAGTCCCTGGTCTCACTGCCAGGTGTCCCACAAGCAGAGCAAGCTACACAAGTGTCATCACAAGCAAAGAAATGACTAGGTTAGTCCCATGTATGCTCCTAAGCTGTTGGTCTAGAGTTGGTGAGCTTCCATTAGTTCAGGTCAACTGTATCTGGAGGCTTTTTTCCCATGATATTGACCCCCCCTTGCTCATATAATCCCCCTTCCCTATCTTTGATTGGACTCCCAGTGCTCATCTCTGTCCTAGGTTGTGGATCTTTGCATCTGTTTCCATCAGTTATTGGATGAAGGTTCTATTATGACAATTATGGTAGTCACTAATCTGATTATAAGAGAAGGCCAGTTTAGGTACCCTCTCTATTATTGCTAGAATTCTTAGCTTGGGTCATCCTTGTGGATTCTGGGAGTTTCTCTGCCACCAGGTTTCTCCATAACCACATAAATACAAGATATCTCTTTCACAACTTGCCCTCACTGTCCCTCCCCTAACTTGACCATCTTGATTCCTCATGTTCCCATCCTCCATCCCCTCCCACCAAACCCCCCATTTTACCTAGGATATCTCATCTATTTCCCCTTCTCAAGGTGATTCATATACCTACTCTAATGTTCTTGGGAACATATTTTAGCTTTTTATTGTGTAGGTTTCATTCTCTGATTCTTTGGCTTTATTTTTTGAGGATGGGGTTAGAATACATTGGTGAAAGTACCTGCTAGTACTGAGTTTTAAAAAACTGTACTGAGTTTTTTAAGTTAATTTTGTATCCTGCTACTTTGCTGAAGGTGTTTATCA